TTTTTTTTTTTTTTTTTTTTTTTTGGCTACCTACGGTAGTTTCGTCTCTCAATCCTGTATCTACCTCACGCTTCCTACCTACCTAATGGGTTACCTCATATTCTGGAGGACGCAGTTTCTCAGTTCAGTAGCCAGCCTTAAATCTACCAAATATGCCCAAGTTATCCTAAGGTTATGGGTCTGTTCCTACCGAACTCTGCTCTGTGCGGGGAGCGGTACCCAAGTCACGCCCCAAGGGTGAGTATTTAGTCGCAGGTTTATGATAATTCCGACACTGGCGGAAGGATAAGAGCAGGGCAAGCTTTGTCGAATTCTGTACAAAAGTCCTGTTTTATGCCCTTCCACATGACAGTACCACGAGGTCGCAGGATCTGTGGAGGAGGGGGAGAGGACTCAGTAACCTCTGGTTCCAATGTCAACCATGGTTTTGCTTGTTGCTATACAATACTAGTAATGATGCCGCTCCCACATGGGAGCTCAAATTGAGATCCTTATTTGTCACAACCTGCTTCTGCTTTTGCTGCATATTTGGTACTCTGCCACTCTCCAGGTACCCTGCATCTGCACTGCCCTCTACCTAGGATATAATAGGTAGTACTGACCTTTCTCTTCTCCTTCTCCCTCTCCACCTCCTCCTCCTCCTCCTCCTCCTCCTGCTCCTCCTCCTGCTTCTCCTCTTCCTGTTTGTCTCCACCTCCACCTCCTCCTCCTCCTCCACGTGCTCCTCTTCCTGTTCGTTTTTCTCCTAGAAGGAACCATGCTCAGAAATGACTTGCCAGCAGTTGAGGAGCAGCAAACGTCCCAGCACCAGACTCCTTTGTTTTCTCTCTGTCTTTTCCCTTTTTTTCCTCTTTGCTTGGTTTCATCTTCAATTTCCCTTCTCGCATTTTCTTCGTTGTTCCTTGTGTTGTTTTCTTCTCTTTGATTTTGCTCTCTTCTGCTGTGTCCTTTTCATCTCCTGTGCTGTGTAATTCACATCTTAATCTTTGAGTCAAAGTTCAAAAATTGAAAAAATTGAACAACAAAAAAATTCAAATTTGTCCTTTGGAACTTGGCCTTGTGTTCTGCTCTAACGAACAGAGCTTCTCTTATGCGACATATTCAATTTTCTGTTCACAGGTACATAGGCTTGATGCAGCCACCAGTGGTACTCTAGTCCTTGCCCGCACTCAAGCGAGCGCCAATATGCTTGGTAACATTTTTCGCGACAAGACAGCTTCTCTCCAAGCACGAACCACCAGCAGGTCTGCCATCAGCGGTCTCAAGGACATCTTCCCAGTGAAGGTGAGTTTTCTTTTTCATGGTCTCCTTTTAGCGTTGGAGCAACTGTTATCTCTTTCCCTTTTCGGTTAATATATGCCGCGGTTTGCACCCACGTTGCCACTTGTCTACGTAGGCAAGTACGTACATATGTTATGATGTGTACTAAATTACCACTAATGTCTGTCGGTCTCTGTCTGTGCGGATCCAGACTATGTCCATCCGCCCGTCTGTCCCTATGTACGTCTGTCCGTCCGTAGGCCCATCTGTCCGTCTTTCATCTGTCTGCACTGTCGGTCTGTAATGTAATGGATGTATTTATGCATGCATGATACATGTATGCATGTATGTATGCATGCATGTATGTATTCATGTATGTATGTATGTATGTATGTATGTATGCATGTATGTATGTATGTATGTATGTGTGTATGTATGTATGTATGCATGTATGTATGCATGTATGTATGTACTATGTATGTATTTGTGTATGTGTGGGGTTACACACGTAGGCAATCTCAAAAAGTGTGCTCTGTATTGATGTGAAATTGCCACAATGATGTCATGGTAGGCATTGGCCAGGGTGACCAAGGATTCTCTAGGAGCTCAGTGAACACTCAAAACGCTGGAAGGCACATAATGTCCAAATGTGAAAACCTGCTTGAACTGCTTGAAAATTATGCCATTAATACCCCCGCTATTGAATTATCCTCAGAAATGAGCATGTGTGAAAACACTGAAAAGTTGAAAACACTTGAACTCCGCCATGATTCTTAACCAAAAAAATAAAAATAAAAAGATATTGAGAGCTGGGGGTCCAACCTCCCTTGCATGGTTGACTCACACAACGCTTCCTTCCATTATAGTTGAAGGACCCTGAGATGGGCATGTATTACTCCTTAGATGGACGGCTCCGCGCCTGCCAAAAAGTTAATCGGATAAAATCGATCCTTTCAGCTCCCTCTGCTACCAGATGAACGTCACAAGCCGCTTCACCCTTGCCAATGTCCCTTTGCAGAAGACATTGTGGGTGCAAGCCGTCTTCCCCCGAACGCAACGCACCCTCGTTTTGACTGAATCGGACTGGAAAATTAGCTTGTATACGTTCGTTATGAGGGTGTGTTATGATAGGGGGAAGACGGTAGGCGGGGCTTTTGCTTTTGCCCATTACAGTATCGTATTGTGGCATACTGCGCACCACACGGGCCTGCAGGGCCTGACCAGGCGGAATAAGGGCCCTCCAGGCCCTGTGTCGTTTCAGCCTAAAAAGGAGGGCCAATTTTAGGCCCTCTTAAAGTCGACCTTTCCTGAAACTTAGGCGCCAGACCAGGGATAAGCGCAGGCCATTTTTAGGCCCGTTTCAAGACAACCTTTTTTTGAACTTGGGCGCCAGGGTCTGGCACAATTCGGCATTGGCAAAAGCAGCCTCCCAGCCGGACCAGCGCTATATAGTGCTCTGGTCCGCCCGGGAGGGCACAGGCAGTTCAGGAGGTAGTCTTCAGGATTCGACAGCAGCACTCTGCGGAGCGCTGCAGTAGTAGTAGATAGGAGTAGTCTTCAGCGCTGGGCGCTTAGAGAGTAGCATTAGAGAGGGAGGAGAGTGGCGGAGGCCAGGGAGCTTACCTGTGACGCCATCGCTCCAGCTTCATCTTCGAGGTACGTGCAGCAAGGCGCCACTTTTCACAGGTTAGTACCGGGCACCAGGAGAAAGAGAGAGAGAAAGAGTTCTTCTTCTTCTTCCTCCAGTCCACCATCTCTCCCTCCCCCTCCAGCTACCGGACTTCTCAGTATCGACAGACTACAAGAGATAGAGAGAGAGAGAGAGAGATTTGTGACTTTGGGATGTTGACGACATTTGGATACAGACTCGACTTTGGGACAGCGACATTGGATGGGGATTATTTGGGATCTATATCGAAGACTTGGTGTTGACGACATCCTCATCCCTCCCTTCCTCTTCGTCTGATCCCCCTCCTCTTCATCTATGTATGATCTGGGCCTGGCGTATTCCTCCTATGTGTAGCGCCAGGCCCCTTCACACCTTGCGATGATGATGATGTATGTTTGGTCTGCATTGCGACATTGATTGGTCTGGTCATTGGTATTTTAGCCTTCCGCTGCGCTATCCTGAACTATGTGAGAGAGGTCGGTTCTTGTTCTGGTCTGTACCGTTACGGTATGCAACACGTATCCTGTGTTCCAAACAAGACTTGAACTGTTAACCTGCTCATTAACAGTTACATATGTGTTGCATTCAGCCACCAGACACACATGAGAGAATCGAGTGTCCATTACATAAGCCAGGACCTATGCTTTGGTAAATGCCCTAGTTGATTGAACACAGTAGTTCATAGCCGAAGCTGAGTAAAGGCCCCGGTACTCACATAAGGGATGCTGGGCCCAGTTCCCCTCCCCACGAATAGACCGGATCAATGGAGCATCTTAAAAAAAAAAGAAAAAGAAAAAAAAGTCAGGACCTATTGTAATCTTGCCAGAACTCTGCTTAGCATCTGTTCTAAAACGTAGTTAGTTACTCCTTTACCAGAGAAGGTCGTACGTTCTCCAACTGTCATCCCATAACTTTATTATAGCTGTATTCAGGGCAAGTTTTGACCATACCCTATGTTTGGGAGAAGATGGTAGTGGCCTGTTACGTTGGTAGTATAGGCCTCACTCGGTCTTTCAACAGGCTATCCTGTGTGCTGCTGACTATACCAGCATTGTGAGAGTTCAAGTCCCACAAGACAAGAATGGTCGTAGAAGACTGTAGTGCGGGTGGCATTTGTCAGTATTATAGTCAGTCGATCAGGAGGCTCTGATGTGCTGCTGATCATACCACCAACTGGCACCGAGATTAATGTGAGGTTTCAAGTCTCACAATTCAAAAGAAAGGATGTCAACATGCCGACGTTCAATGGATAATTTATTAATTTCTGAATTAATCTTTGTGAAACTGGTGGTTACAACCCTGTTAAAAGGAAAAAGGAAAAAGGAAAAAAAAAATAAAAAAATTCAAAAGATGGATTACACCTCTACCTTAGTTCTGGAAGACAGTGATGATCAATAGATGTGCAGTACACATTATTTTGTTGAGTTCAGCTAGCAGCAAGGGATTGAGATGTGATTTCTCTTGAAAGTTTGTATTTTGGCTTTCGTAAACTTTCTTTCAGGTCTTTTTTTTATTCCCATGTTAGGAAAGTGTAGAAGAGTATTTTTAACAAAAGGGCCAAAGCAAACCTGATTCTCCTTCCCTCCAGCAGGACTTGCTATATCAGAGCCAGTGTTTCACGTGAAAAAATCTTAATTTCTACTCTGTCTGTTGGTGCATGTGCACTCTTATGATCTGTTCTAGGATCGTTCATGGAGTCCGTCTGCTCTTCAGCGCTGCTATTGGGCTTTGGTTCAGGGAGTGCCTGCAAAGCCACAGGGGCTGATCCAGGAGCCTCTTGGAAAGGTGAGTTTTTTTTTTTTTTTTTTTTTTTTTTTTTTTTTTTTTTTTTAAATAGGAATTCTGTTTTCCTACTTACTGTTTCCAACTTTCCACCCATCCACCATACTGCATCCATGTCTCAGCTTCTTTCAGGTGCCCGTTATGTATCATCTCTGCTCCAAGCTATGGCCACGCAACCCAAAAGCGCATGCCCACCGAAGCCTGCAAAAGAAATTGTTTGCAGCTGCAAATCCAGGGAATGAGATTCAGTGACGATGCCATTTCAAAGGAAATCTGGAAAAAGAAAATATAACAAATTCCGACTGACCTAAGCTCAGTTTGTACACCACTGAACTGTTGAAATACAGACCTTAGTTTGAACTCACCGGTGGATGCAACCGGGCCGGATCTACCCAGGTCCTCCAACCGAAATTCCGATTGGGCGCAAAACTGGTCCAATGTTTTTTATTTCTTTTTATGTTTGGGGGGGGGGGGGGGGGGGGGGGGGGGGGGGGGGGGGAGGGGGGGTTATGGTGGGGGTGGGGTTCATAGTGGCGGTGTTACCGCAAGCATGGGCATCAGCAGACAGAGATAACAGCAAACCTGGCCATCAGCAAACGTGGACAACAGCATACCTGTAGCATCAAGCAACATGGAGAACACCATACCTCACCTCACCAGCAGCAAACATGACCAAACATGGACATTGGCATGCACCGTCGCACTGGCATTGCAATCAACAGACAGAGAAGATATAGTACATTAGAGTATAAGAAGAAGAAGAAGATAGAAGAAGAAGAAGAAGAAGAAGAAGAAGAAGAAGAAGAAGACGAAGAAGACGAAGAAGAAGATAAGCAGCGATTTTTCTCTCTCTCTCTCTCTCTCTCTCTCTCTCTCTCTCTCTCNCTCTCTCTCTCTCTCTCTCTCTCTCTCTCTCTCTCTCTCTCTCTCTCTCTCTCTCTCTCTCTCTCTCTCTCGCTCTCTCTCTCTCTCTCTCTCGTTGAACTCGGGAGCTGGTGTGGCAACTCTGCATTCCCAAAAATGGCCAAGTCGGGAGTAGTGTCACGAGGCCCTTCCTGTGCAGGCATTGGGAGACCACCTAAACCTCAAATGGAGTACCACGTGGCATTCAGGCCATCTGGATCCAAGTGAAGATCGGTGGTTTGCAAGAGAAGAACTGCCGAAGTCTGTGCACCAAGTGGTTCCACGGCATGAAAGGGCTGTGAAATGGAAGCACCGGCAAGTGTAAAGGGTTCAAACCCAAGGGGGTGGCAATGTGAGGCTCCAGGCCTCGGCTCGCCACAGTAAGGCCACCTGTGGAGAAGACAGGCCGGCCCTAAGTGAAGGGTGCGCCTGAAGAATGTAGGGCGGTCCTAAGAGAAGGCTCAGGGCTGTGCCTGGCTGCACTGGGCCTGAGATTGGAACCCATCCCAGGTAACTATCCTGTGTCGCAGTCGGTCACATGGCTTTGAAACCTTGGACCCAGATGGCTGCAGACCGGTAGGCAGTAGGGACTGCCTACTGGGGCCCAGACCCGGGCCTCCAGATGGGACAAAAGAGAGGCGGCCATGGCGAAATGGACATTTGGGCATTGGCCACAGTGTGGCAGCACAGGAGCAGCACATTGCGGCCAGATAGCACCCGGGCAGAAGGAAGCTGCCACGGTAGCGGTTATGCTAGTGGCTCCCATAACTGGGAAGCACTGAGCAGGAAGCAGTGTGGCGTAGTGCTGAGGTAATCAGTGAAGAGGAGGACAGGAGTAGGTACTGGCGGTACTTGCTGTTGGCCGAGGAGCACTCAAGTGAGGAGACTCTTCAGCAATTTCTGTCGAGAGGCTTGTGGAGTTTGAGAGAGTGATAGGCGAGTAGACTGGTCTATGTAGGTACATTAGGATGGTAGTTGAGGCGGACACATCAAGGTAGGGGTACTTGATTCTTGGAGTCACAAACAGACCTTTCATTGTCAAAAGACTTCAGTGTTCAGTGTGTTCTCAAACCGCCAGTACCTTTCCCAGGTATCGATGCCGACCCTAAAACCCCCCTGCGAGCCAAAGAAAAACAAACTGGCACAGGCCTCATTTTGGCTGGCGCCGCCAGCCATTTCAGTCCAGTACCCCCGAAAGATGCGGCCACATGCCACCGCGTATTTGTTTTTCAAGCGTGGAAAGGTACTGATGGCTTAATCTGGTGTGCTCTCGGCTCTGTTTCTCGTTGGATGGTTCTTTGCACGTCTTCCTCCGGGATCCAAAATGCTGCCCCGTACCACATCATGCAGAATGCTAATGAATTTAGATTTAGTCAGTCCTGGTCACCGGGCGTCCCGGCTGGGGAAAGGTCACCCGTATACCCACCCAGGCAGGGTCCCGGGCAGTCCCAGCACGTAACTAAAAAAACAAACAAAAAAAAAAATACGGGGTAATAATTGCAATACAGTTAACTTTGGGCTGAGGTCCCCTTGAAATTCCTTAGTCAAAAATGAAAGAGAAAACTTGAGTTAAGATATACCCTTTGAAGTTTGAACCCTTATAGTCACTGTTTGTTCCCCCCGAAACCCCCATGGGTGACCCATCACCAAATTGGAAGGTAAGGCCGGATTCTGACTGCTCAGGCCCAAGCGCAGTCCTGTCCTGAAGTCAGTTTTTTGAACTCTTTTCTTTTAGGATGCTTGCCTCTTTTTTGTCCCACTCAGTTTTCCCCAGGTCTACTGCCCAGCATATGAGTTAGTGTCGTGCCATGTAGGGATGCGTGGACCCTTGGAGGCTAGTTGCCATTGAGCTATCTCCACCTTGTTGTGTGACCTGTAGACCTTGGAAGCGTAGGGGGCATACTTGCGGCATGCACATGAGATGCGCGGTGCCGTGCACTGTGCGCACATGATTAATGCGTGCACACCACGTGCACATGGGCAGTGCGCTGGAGTATGGGCCACTAACCCCCATCCCCACACACAGGTAAAGTGTGCCGGGTTTTTTTTTTTTTTTTTTNNNTGTGTGTGTGTGTGTGTGTGTGTGTGTGTGTGTGTGTGTGTGTGTGTGAGTTGTGCCAAAAATTCCCCGCCACACATAACAAAAATGAAAAGTCAAAACAACTTTGTGTTCCCACAAAAGAACATGAGGTACACTGTGCTCCTTTCTAGGCAGCGGGTGTATCTTGCCGTTTTGTGGGAGAGGATGCACTAGTTTTCATTTCTTCTCGTGTTGTGTCACGACATTGCCCTTCTGCTGAAAGCATCTGACAGAGGACAAAACGCCCTAATCAATGGACAAATAGCCCCGTCGTGTTTTTTATTATTTTATAGCTTAGAACAGACAAACCCATTGTCATTCCAACTGCGGTTGGTACATTTTAAAATTTAAACGTTTCAACTGGACAAATCCGTTGGCCTGTTTGTCTTTTCTGCCCTTCTTTTTCATGTGATTAATACTGGATTCAAACTTCGGGCTGTATTCCAACAGTTCAGGGGTGTACCAACTGGGCTAGGCCCGTTGTTGAATAGCCCCATGATGAGTCTGACGGATTCGACACCCTTGGTCGTCGCTGCACCACTCACCACATCCACAAGAGACAAAACAATTATGGCGGTGTATCTTTCCATGTTCTAGGCTGAACATTCATTCTCATTTTGCACATTTGGTGAGTAGTGGAGCGAGTGCCTGCTTATCTGGCGGACTCCCCACAGTGTACCGTAGTCATGACGGTATCGGACACAACTGTATCTGCTTTGAAAAGACAAAAATATGGCGGGTTTATCATTCCACATTCTCGAGTGAGATATAGGGCCTCGCTGCACTACTGTCGACACGCACAAAAGACAAAAATCATGCCGGTGTATCTTTCCATATTCTAGTGGAAGATTCACTCTCGTTTTGCACATTTCGAGAGTAGTGGAGTGAGGCCCATATTCCCTCAAAAATTCTGTTCCTTTTTTCTTATTAGAGAAAACATCAACGGGAAACTGGCTGCCAGTTCTGACATTTGTGTTTCTAGATAGAGAACAAAAGAGCCGTTGGAGAGAGCATGCATGACGCACCCTCATTATGACTGTATGGACCTGGATGCCATACACACACAGAGGACATTCTAAAGTAGTCTGCTTGCACGGTGAGTATTTAGAACCCTGTCAAGTTCGTCATATCTTTGTCCTGTCCTTCGGCACTCCACTTCCTCACCCTACCTTTTTTCCTCCCTTACCCTTTTCCCCTCCCCTGCCCCTCACTCCCTACAGGAGCATACAGTAAGTGCATACAAATGAGGATCATTAGGAGAACAGACGAAATATAAGCTGAAGATCTGTAGTAAAATGAACAGGAGCATACCTCCCCCTTTACTCTGTCTCCTTTCATAACGTGCAAGTGTGTCGTTAAGGCACCCAGGGATGTGGGCAGCTGACGCTCAACCACAATCAACGTGGCCAGCCTTGTACGTGAGAGGTGGAGGCATAGTAAAAGGGGAGCTGCAAGAATAAATGAAAGGCGTAGTAAACGCAGCTAAGAAAGGGACTTCAATGGATCTATTGTGCTCCGTATTGGTTGCTATAGAGGTAAAACTGTTTCATTGTTGGACTGTCTGAACTCGAGTGTTTTCGTTGTCTGCAATAGGACTAAAGCTGCTTCAATTTTGTATCTACTCATCTGGGTTGTTGTGGTGAAATCCAAAACACACAGGACATAAAACAGTCACACACACGCACGAACACACACACATCTGTTCCTGGACGAGTGCTGCCCCGAATGCTTTTCTAAGTTTTCTTTCTTTGTCCTGCGATACTTTTCGATGCCCGTCCCCAATTTTTTTTCACGACACCCTATGTTCGGGGGTGCGCCATACGCCGCATGAGTGGCATGCTCGCGCAAGAAGTGTGCCGCATGTATCATAGGGTTTTTTTGGCATCTGTCCATAACGTTCCTTTGTTGTTGTTTTTTCGGGGAAAAAAAAGTGAAGCTTTATTATGTATGCTGGAAACCGGGTACAGCAACATTGATTGGTCCCTTGTAAGAGGAAGGATTTATCACTACTGGGACAGAA